GAATATTCACTGTTGCTCCCCCATTGATAAGAACTGTGTTTACTTTCACTCTTTCAATCTTTTTTTTTCAACATAAGAGGTTTTAGATGAAGTTGCATCTCTTCAGTGGCAGATTGATGAAAACAACATATTGATCAAGAGATTCATATGACACTTGGGTAACCCATACAACTTTGGGTTCAAGTCCTAGCTTATAATAATCCTCTTGATATAGATCATTCCTCCTTTGGTCTTCCTCATATTGATTTGAATATTCGTTAGGTAATATTGAAATAACCCCAACACTTACGTTTCCTTGGTATAAACTTGCATTCATACCTTCCCCTTGATTGAACAATGTGCTCAAATACATTTGATCATCTTGACTTGCACTTCCCCTCTCCATGGGTCCTACTCTTGATACTTTCCTCCAAAAAGGCTGAGAAATATTACTTCTCATCCAAGAACCTCTTCGATAGAATTCTTTTTTATACTTTGGATAACCAATATAGAAATCTAGACTAAATGACAACCTATCGAATACATTTCAATTTCTCGTTCCATAATTACCTTAATGGGGGAACACTTTGCCTCCTACCCATTCATTTTTAGTCACTTTTACATAAGGTAAAAAGGTTTGAAATTGTTTTTGGCTATCATTAACTGCTACCTAAATCTCTTAATCATTATAGTCAAGGCTTTGCTATTTTTTTTTTCACTTTCATCTTTCTTTCTGACTCAAACTTTTTGGTAGTAAATTTATAAAAAATGACATTGCATCTCAAGCATAAAACTATTTCTTCATCTTTTTCTTTCTTTCTATTCCAAAGTTCAACCAACATATCCTCTACCTTAGGACAAATCTCGTTTTCCACCTCAAACTCATCTAGCTCCAACTCAAAATCATCATCGACTTTATTTATTTTCACATGACGCGGCTTTATGTCATCATATGTGATATCTATAATGTAAATCCTCAACACCTTCAGTAATGTTAAGTTTGGTTTCGACATATCTCACGTGGTTTTTGAAAGGGTATGTATCCACCTTCTTCAATTTCTCTTCAAAATTAATCTACCCTTGTTTGATAGCATCCTGTATAGTATTCTTGAAATGTATACAATTATTAGTCCAATGACCATATATATTATGAAACTTGCAAGATTTTCTTCCCTTTCTTTATTCTAAAGTAGGAAATTTATGAGTGTCACTTAACTTTATTTGCTTATCTTTTAGCAAAATATCAAAAAATTGATCTTCTCTTGATACATCGAAACTATAAGTTCAATTTGTCATTTTATCTAAAACTTCAATTTTTTGCAACAATCTACAAGTATATGATGGACCTACCTTAAGTTCAGCAAGATTAACTTCTTCATTTTCACTAAAATCATCCACCTCTAAAATATCAGGTAACCTGCTTGATGCACTAACATACCCAATTTTATCTTTTTTAATAGGCTTTCCAAATTTTTGATATATTTCTTTTTCATATTTAATTTATTCGATCTGTCATACCTTATCAGCCAACTGAGCCAAATCCCAACTTTTTCCTTATTGAAAATTCTAACCCTGTAGTAGCCATTCTTACTAATTCACACTCAGGTATTTGAGTAAAATATCTTGATTTCATTTGTCAAAATCTATTCAAATAGTCATCAATATTTTCATTATGATATCGCTAATTTAGCCCAACTATGTATTGAATTTGGAGAAAGTGTTGTAAATCATATAAAAACATTTGTTGTCAAAGAACTTGAAAAATACTTTATTATCAAATTTTCATTTATTAAGATATTCTCACATTCAATTTGATACCTAACAATATGTTTTAAATTACAAAGTTAAGGAAAAGTGAAATAAAATAAAGTTGATTATATAACCAATTCTCATATGTTGTTGATTATTCTATTGTCCCATAATATGATTATATCCATTATTCTTCATATTACCTCCGAAACCATTATCTCTCCTCACATTATCCCACATTTGTAATACTTGGTCAACATTTTAACCTCTTCGAATCATATGATTATTTCTCATTTGATTTTCCTTAAAATTATTTTGATCTTGATTCTCATTTCGATTATTCCTTATTTGGCCATTATTCTCTAAGTTTTCTCTTCTAGGAATAACTAATGCATCTCCATTTCTAGCCACTGGTTCTACTAGCCTTTGAAAATTATCAATTGTAGTTTGAACCAAAGGGTTCAAGATTGTAATCATTTGTTGTGACAACATATTCACCATCTTATGATTACTATCGTTTATTTGTTATATTATCACTACTAAAAAACTACTTGATATTCTCGTACTTATGTTTTCAAAATCAAGATGATTTCTGCCAAATTCCTTATCAACCCCAATCAACTTTTACTCTGACTGCAATTATTCATTCTATTGGAGTTAGGAGTTGGTTGCCAAGGAGGCATACCCTAAGGATATCTCTCGATTATTGACACACCTTGATTATTTTGTTATATAGATGAACTAGCCCTATTCACATTACCCCCCTAAAGTTGTAAAAGGTTTATTCGTATTTATATGGGACCTAGTGTAAATAGTTATTGGATTACTTGTTGTTTGCATTACTATTCCTTAACTACCTTAGATATTTGACATATTTTGTTCAGTCATGTTCCCCTTATCATCACCCACTTTATTATTGACCATATTCCCTGTACCCACATTCTATCCTCCATTATTTTGATTCATATTATTGTGTGTTGTATTGGACATTAATATAGAACTAAGTGTAGAACTTTGTGTATTCTGACTTGACATGATAATCTTACCACTTCTTAATCTTATACACGGTTTACATGAAAAAACTAGTCAATTTTTTATGAGTCCGATTAGGTATGTCAATTTGTTTCTAGTGAAAATTGATTTGATGCATTCAATGGATATATCAACTTTACCCCTAATTAATCCTTCCAATACAAATTAGTAGATTTTTTTTGTTTAGACTAACAAGTAAAATTTTTTTCACTTTAGAGAATGTTTCGTGTTGATCACTATTTTACTAAAAAATTAATATGAAGTCAATCTTAATAATAGATAGATCTTTCACATGTTAGTTTGATATATATATATATATATATATATATATATATATATATATATATATATATATTCTCTTTATTATAAATTTGGATCTTTAATATTATTTTAAACATTACCTAAATATTTAATACGACTTCATTAAAATTACCAAAAATAACAAAGGTGTGAAATGTAAACTACATATAAATAAAGTATTGAAAATATAAATAAATATAAATTGAAAGAAATATAAATTAAAAAAAATATAAAGTACTAAAAACGAAAAGTACTAAAGATAAAAGAGAAATTGGTATAGAAAATTAATAAAAATAATGATATAAACTATAAAAAACTCTATTGAAAATAATATTTTTTGTGTTCACAACACTTTAGAATATAACTATCTTAATATAATTTGTCATCACTTTATCCTTATTTTTTTTATCTTATTACTTATTATTCTTTGTAATGGCTAACAACAATAAAATAAAATAAGAACATTTTTTCAAGTATCAACCTACTTTTCCTTGTTTTAGTAGTTTTCTTATCACGTATACATGTAATCATCCTATGAAGTTATAATTTTTCGTATTTTTCTCAATTCTTTGAAACTCTTAATCGACAACAATCTTTATAACAATGTGTTTATTTGCTTTTGTCTTTGTTTTTTTAGATGTTGTGTGATGCTGAATAATAATTTTTTAATGTTAAACATCTCTTACTTGCATAAGATTTGCATCTTATTTTAAAGGAATGTCTCTTGTCATGGAGATTCACACCAACAGATCATAAACCTGTCAAAAAGTATGTTGGAGATAATTTTAGAATTGTTTTAAAATTTGTTTTGCCAATAAAGTTATCAATCTAAATAAGGAAGACCTTTACCAGAACAACAAAAGTTGTTTTTCAAAAAATTTAAATTTAGAAAGTATATTTTTTGACTTTTAATGAAGTTTCCTATAAAAGCACTTTTATATATATAAAAAAAATCTAACTTTCTTAAATAAAATATAAATTTTATTAAAAAGGTATTACCTTTATTAATAAGTTTATAATAAAAATAATATATTATCCTCCTATTCTAAAAGAATATATAAATTTGTAACGACATTTTTTTATCATATAAACCTAATTTAATCAATAAGAAATTATAACTATCCTCCATGCTAAAAAGATACTTGTCTTATCTTAGTTCCACCATTTTTATATTATACACCTTTTATTAAAAAATAGAAAATTCTATAACATGCTACTACATGCAATTTTAATAATTTCCTAATTTATTTTTTTTAGGACATGACAAGAGTAATTGGCTGTAGAAAAAAAGAAAGAGAACTAAAAAAATAGAATAATGAAAAAAAGAAGAAGAAATAAACTAGCATCTATCGTCAACCCCTCAATCACGAATCCGAAATCCGAACGGTGGTAGCACCCACCACACGCAATTTCATTCATTACCTCCAACGCAGTGCTTTCAACTTTCAATTCAAACTCTTTCAATCAATTACTGTTATTTTTATTTATTTAATGCGATTGGATTAGGATTATTGGGTCTCAAGAATATTCCTCAAATTCACGATAATTGTCTCGGCACATTTTTCACTTTCCAGCCGAATATTCTTCCATTCGTATTTGGCGGTACCATATTTAAGTTTCGTAAGTCGGTGCCCCACACAACACAACATCACATGTATTGTTTAACGTACGAGGTTCAGCTGATCTCCAATTAAGCTTTTACTGCTGCAAATTCATCATAGCAGGAAATTTCACTGGTACCATTTGTTGTTTTTCTGAAATTTAGAGAAAAATACATACTTGTATAGGTTGGGGAAAGAATCATCAAATGATTGTGTCATAATTGGATCAACATTTGTGTGTAAGCTTTGCCATCTTAAATTTCGTAGTGTTCTTGTTGGGTTTCAGCAAATATTAGTTTCTTTGAAGGATAGTTGGGGTTTCGTATATAAAATATTAGCATGCAAGCAGTGGGGAGGCTTGGCAGCTACATCAGCCGCGGCGTGTACACTGTTTCAGGGCCGTTTCTTCCTTTTGGTGGGGCAGTGGACATTGTTGTGGTTCAACAGAAAGATGGGAGCTTCAAATCCTCTCCTTGGTATGTTAGGTTTCGGAAATTCCACAGGGTTTTGAAAGAAAAGGTGAAGGTTCATGTTAGTGTCAACGGGGTAGAGCCTGATTTCCACTTGTATTTGAACCCTAAAGGGGAAGTCGTTTTCTTTCATGGAGATACGCAAGAAGAACAAGAAGGGGAATCTATATTTGGTAGTGAAAGGGAAAGTGATTGTATCACACAACAGGGTGGTAAGAACCATTTCGAATCCAGAAGTCGGAGCTTTGATTCACAGGACACGTCAAATGCAGAGGCTAAAGTTGTTGGTAGAACTAGGTCTCGCCGCTCCCGAATTCTAGGGCTTGTGTCAAGGTCTTTGAGAGAGGAGGGTAGAAATGGAGATGTCTATGGGGTGGATTACGTGGAGCGTGCTGAGATTGCAGCCAACTTGTTGGAGCTGAAGTGGTCCACCAATCTCACTTTTGATCATCGACCGCCTCGTGCAGACAGGGAAAAAACTAGGGGTGAGGCCTTGAACAATGGTTTACTTTCACCACCGTGTAAAAGGAAGGAGGAATCTTGTTCTTGCAGTGAGCAAGATGGTATCAGATCAAAGCCTGTGTCTGATGAGATGTTGTGCCTTGCAGGTGCAGGATGTGGAGGCGTTCATCTCCATGATGAGGAGGTCTTGCAAGCTGGAACTCTAGTTCTACCTGAGGTAAATCATGCTAAATTCTTCTTGGTGATATTGTTAGAGCTTTTATTCTTAGAATTAGAATTTGAACCTAATATTACTACGTCTATCATAGTAGTTGTTGTTAGTAGTATTGAAGTAACCATTATTGGAAACTTCATATTTCGAGATTTTTGTCCTCATGACAAGAGTATATAAGAGAATTTCCATTAATTAGTGATATGACCTACATAGTAGTATGTAAGTGGAGTCGGCTTTTAGAGTTGAATTTGACTAAAATCAAAATTCTAAGATTTATATGTCAACATCAATAAAAACTTCTTTGGATAAATTTCTCAATGATTACCACTTACATAAAAGAAAATAAAATGAACCAATATTTTCATAAATTACATCAACTTATACACCTAACTTTTTTAAAAGTTTCCTTATTTAGCTTCTCCAAAAGCAGTTGTTGGGTTTCATAATTGAAAATCTCTTATATATGTTAGATGCTAATTATTGATTCAAGTAAAACAAGCAGGAGGTGCAAAGAGTGCATTTCGTTTGGTTTGACTCTGATATGCTTTAGTTCATGTTTAGGTTAAACAAAGTGAGGAAGTCACTAAGAGTTTTGACACTGGGAGAACAGTAACGAATGACACTCTGTTACAATCGCAGGAAAGAGAATGTTCCCATTCTGGTATTTGTACTGCGGGGGATGTTGGAGACCTACCAACATTTCGAAAATCCCAAAGTGTCAATATTGGTCTAAGAGATTGTGCAATAAGGAATGTTAGTGCAAATACTCCAACGTCTGAACAATTAGAATCCTTAAATCTGAAGGAAGGGAGGAACACAATAACCTTCAGTTTCTCCACAGCTACGGGGAAGCAGCAGGTCAGTAATCAATAACATTGAAGAATTTTATTTCAAGAACATGAGGCTTACTTCACTTTTTACTTGTTATTTTTTTAATTTTTAATTATTCTTTTGACTATCAGGTTGATGCTCATATATATTTGTGGAAATGGAATACTCGTATAGTGGTATCAGATGTAGATGGGACAATTACAAGGTGAGGATATATATATATATATATATATATATATATATATATATATATATATAGCAAATAAAAATACTTCATACTTGGTAATTACCAAAAAATGCTTCTCAGCAATCTAGCTGAAGAATCAATATTGATTGAATCAATGACTCAACTTCAATCAACTGTGTCCTGCCTATACCAACAGCAATAAGTCAGAACTATGGTGTATTTCGGAAGAGCTTCCTGACTTTTATTTTTTTAGATCAATGAGAAAACGCACAGCACCAAGACTCTTTCTTCTTTTATAAGTCAGCAATGTGGACTTCTATTCTATTTTTTAGAGCTGAGCAAGATGCTCTATGGATCCTTTTCCTATGAACCAAGCATGAAACATTTTTGTGTCCTGTTATCACTTGAGAATAGACATAGGGTTTCTGTTTGAAGCGCATGTTTAGTTTATAGTACCAATGGGATACCAAGATCAAGGTCATGTGTTGTTCAATTGTTTGCAACAGTGGTCCTCAAGGGTCTTACAAATCACTTGAGAAAACTATTTAGGGTTCAATACAGTGTCAAAAGGCACTGTCAGCTTCTGTACTAGATTGAGCAACAATACTTTGCTTTTTATTCTTTCAAGAAATCAAATTTCCTCCAATAAAGATATAATATCCAGTAGTAGATCTTCTATTAATGGGACAACTAGACCGATCTACATCATAATAACCTAGAATTTGAGTATTATCTTTATCTTCATATAACAATCCTTGGCTTGGAGCCCCTTTAATATATCTTAGAATGTGAATCAAAGCATCCCAATGATCAGCACAAGGATTTTGCATGAATTTCCTAACTACTCCAACTGCATAAGAAAGGCCTGGTCTGGTAATAGTAAGATAAATGAGTTTACCAACCAATCTCCTATATCTTCTTGGGTCTGCCAATTTTTCTTTTTTATCTCCCATCAATTTCTGATTCTGATCCATTGGGATATCAATGAGTTTACAATTTGTTAAATCTGTCTCCTTTAGAATATCAAGAGCATACTTTCTTTGAGAAATTAACACACCTTCCTTTGACTGAGTCACTTCAATGCCAAGAAAATACTTCAATTGACCAAAATCTTTGTTTGGAAGTGAGCAAATAGATGATTCTTGTCAGTTGGTTAATCTTAGTATAATCATTGTCTATAGTAAAAATATCATCAACATAAACCATAAGATTCACACACTTACTTGAAGATGAATGGCAAAAAACACTAAGTGGTCTGCTTCATTCCTTTTCAAACCAAACAACTGCATAACTCAACCAAGAGGCCGGTGTAGCTTCAAGCTCAGGTGATTGCTTCAAGCTATAAAGAGACCGGTGTAGCTTACACACTAAACCAGACTCCCCCTGAGCAACAAAGCCAAGAGGTTGCTCCATATAAATCTCTTCCTAAAGGTCACCATGAAGAAAAGTATTTTTAATGTCCAGTTAGTGAAGGGGCCAATGACGAATAGCAGTCATAGTAAGAAAAAGACGAAGAGTGGAAATCTTAGCTACTGGAGAGAAGGTATCACAGTGGTCAAGGCCATAAATTTGAGCATAGCCTTTAGCTACTAAACGAGTCTTGAGACGATCCACTTTACAATTATTGTCAACTTTAACTATATAGACCCATCTACAACTCAACCATTTTGTCAGGAGGAAGAGGTACAAGCTCCCAATTGCCATTGTGCTTAAGAACCTGTATTTAATCAATGATTACTTGTTATTGTTAGATATGATTAGATATTAGTTGATATTATTTGATATTGTTGAGATATTGTTAGATATTGTTAATCACAATATCAAATAATATCTTTTATTTACCTTATTTACCCTATTTTGTATTCTATTACTCTTTTGAGGAGTACCTTTCTTTATTATAAATACACTACCCTATGTGTGGTAAATACATAAGGGAAATTAACCCTATACAGTTTTTCTATATTCAACATGGTATCAAGAGCTTAAGGTCTCTTGGGATTCTTTTTCGCCGCCTCCATCGCCGCCACCGTCGCCACCGCCGGAGTAGCAGTTCGGACCGCCGAGCACAGGGTTTTGCTCGCCTCCTCCGTGCGACCTCCACCGTGGAAGTTTCGCGGTCATCGGAGCAACCACGCTCCCTCACGCGCCTCCCGAAGCCGCGCCACCTTCTCCCGTTCCGCCGCGCGTGGCGGCGCGTCTCGCCGCCGTTCAGGAAGCCGCTCTTTGCGCCGGCATCGCCTCCTTCTCCTCTCTCTGGATCTGTCCTCGCTGCTCCAATCGGACCTCTTTGGTGTTTTAGGGTTTTTCTCTCTCTTCCTCCATGGCATCTTCCGCACAATCCTCTGCTGTGGATCCTCCTTCGTCTGTACCTTCAGACAAATCTGCTATCTTCAATGATTTTCTTCAATGGTATGAGGATCGAAAACCCTCCAGTTCCACTACTTCTGTTGCCCACACAGGTACATCTTTTGCTGGTCTGACTCACTCTTCTTCTATTGGCTCTTGGGTTCTTGACTCAGGCGCCACCGATCACATCACTGGTAACAAATCCTTATTTTCCTCTTTCACTTCTTCTCATAATTTACCCTCTGTTACAATGGCTAATGGGTCTACAACTTTAGCTCATGGTGTTGGAACGGTTACTCTTTTTCCCTCGTTGTCCATTGATAATGTTTTGTATGTACCCGGGTCCCCCTTTAACTTATTATCCATTAGCCGTCTAACTCGATCTCTTGATTGTGTTATCTCTTTTACCAAAACTTCTGTTTCCCTACAGGACCGGAGCTCGCAAAGAGTGATTGGCACCGGATGTGAGTCACATGGACTTTATTATCTTCAACCCTCTCCACATGTTGGCACAGTTATGGAGTCTCCTTCTCTCCTTCATGCTCAGCTTGGTCACCCCAGTCTGCGCAAATTACAGCAACTTGTTCCCAGCTTATCCCAGTTGTCCAATTTGGTGTGTGAGTCCTGTCAGTTAGGCAAACATAGTCGTACTTCCTTTTCTCGTAGTGTTTCCCAGCGTGCTTCATCCCCCTTTGCCTTAGTTCACTCTGACATTTGGGGACCCAGTCGTGTTAAGTCTAATTTAGGTTTTCAATATTTTGTTACTTTTATTGATGATTTCTCTCGTTGTACTTGGTTATTTTTAATGAAAAATCGTTCTGAGTTGTTTTCTATATTCCAAAACTTTTATCATGAAATTAAAAATCAATTTGGTGTCTCTATTCAAACTTTTCGAAGTGATAATGGCCGTGAATATCTTTCAAACTCGTTTAAACAATTTATGGCTTCTCATGGCATTCTTCATCAAACTTCCTGTGCTTATACCCCTCAACAAAATGGGGTGGCTGAGCGCAAGAATAGACACCTTATTGAAACAACCCGTACTCTTTTAATTCATGGTGAGGTTCCTCAACATTTTTGGGGTGATGCTGTTCTTACTGCCTGTTATCTTATTAATCGTATGCCCTCTTCGGTTTTAGATAACAAAATTCCCCATTCTATTTTATTTCCTCATGACACTCTCCATCCTTTACCTCTGAAGGTTTTTGGGTCTACCTGTTTTGTCCACAATTTTGATCCTGGTCATGATAAGTTATCTCCTCGATCACACAAATGTGTTTTCTTAGGATTTACTCGATCCCAAAAAGGATACAAGTGTTTTTCTCCTTCTCTTAATCGCTATTTTGTGTCTGCCGATGTCACCTTCAATGAGTTTTCCTTTTACTTTAAGGACCCTTCCCTACCTGCTGAGTCTCCATCTGCTACAGTTCCCATTCCTGTTCTCATTGATCCTTATGTTGAGGACCATCCACCATTAGCCCCTCCTCCTCCACCACCCCTTCAGGTTTATAGTCGCAGACCTCGCCCACAACAGACGCCACATGACTCACTCCCAGTGCCAAATACTCTGCCTCCTCCGGTTCCGTCCACAGAGTCTGACCTTCCTATTGCCCTTCGTAAAGGTACGCGTTCTACTCGTAATCCTTCTCCACATTATACTGCTTTAAGTTATCATCGAATTTCTTCACCATTTTATACCTGTCTCTCGTCTATTTCTTCTGTGTCTATTCCTAAATCTGTCTCTGAAGCCTTAGCCCACCCTGGTTGGCGTCAGGCCATGCTAGATGAACTCGGTGCTCTTCAGACTAGTGGAACCTGGACGCTTGTCCCATTACCATCTGGAAAATCTGTTGTTGGTTGCAGGTGGGTCTTCGCTATCAAGGTTGGTCCTGATGGTACTATTGATCGCCTCAAAGCTCGCCTTGTAGCCAAAGGCTATACCCAAATTTTTGGGTTGGATTATGGTGATACTTTCTCTCCAGTGGCAAAGATGGCTTCTGTTCGTTTATTCATTGCCATGGCTGCTATTCAACAATGGCCTCTTTATCAACTGGATGTCAAAAATGCTTTCTTGAATGGCGATTTGCAAGAAGAGATTTATATGGAGCAACCTCCCGGATTTGTTGCTCAGGGGGAGTCTTCTGGATTGGTATGTCGTCTTCGCAAATCTTTATATGGCCTAAAACAGTCTCCTAGGGCCTGGTTTGGAAAATTTAGCAGCGTTGTTCAACAATTTGGCATGACTAGAAGTGAGGCAGACCACTCAGTCTTTTACCGTCACTCGAATGCTGGATGTATCTATTTGATAGTGTATGTCGATGACATTGTTCTTACAGGTAGTGACCATCATGGCATCTCTCAGATGAAACAACACCTTTGCCACCATTTTCAAACCAAAGATCTTGGCAAACTCAGATATTTCTTGGGTATTGAGGTAGCACAATCTACCGATGGCATTGTTATATCTCAAAGAAAGTATGCATTGGATATTTTGGAGGAAACTGGGTTGATGAATTCAAAGCCTGTTGACACACCCATGGATCCTAATACCAAACTCTTGCCAAATCAGGGGGAGCCAATGTCAGATCCTGAACAGTATAGAAGATTAGTTGGAAAATTAAATTATCTTACAGTTACTCGCCCTGACATTTCCTTTGCAGTCAGTGTGGTGA